GCTGTGCTCCGTAAACAGTGAGTTCAGGTTTGGACCGGGGTACAGGGTGCTCTAAGCAGTGAGTGATTTTACTGAAGGACAGGTGGAGGGCACGTGCATCCATATTTCCCCCAGTTTCCACGAAGGCCTCCAGGACAGACTCATCAGTGCTCCATTGCCCCCCACGGGAGCCAGGGTCACTGGAGGTGGTCACTATCCAGCAGACGATAAAGGGAGCCCAGAGAGCTTGTGAGGAAGGAAAAAAGTCCTTCAGAGCTGTTGTAAAAGGAAGGTAGGTGTCCAGGGAAGGGCTGCTGCCATGGCCCCACTGCTGGGGCAGCCATTTTGTCTCGTGTGGCTGCGCTGCTGCAGCATGGCGGCCATTTTGTCTCAGGCAGCCACAGGGCTCACTCACCTGTGAGGACGAGCGGCTGGTGCGGCCTTGCAGGGCTCTGCGGCGGAAGGGCCCCTGTGAGGGACTCCGTCTGAACTTTAAAAGTGTACCCCTTATTAAAAGAATTTTTGCTGCCTTTTACCTTCTGTAACCAGAATCATAAACCTGCCGGCAAGTGAGGTCTCTTACCTGGTGACTAACTTCAGTATTGCGTGAGGTGCTGTTGCTGACTGGGTGTCCAAATCTATTTCTAAAGGTGGAAAATTGCTTCCTGAGGAGCTTAGCCTTTCTGCTGATGGCCCAGAGCGAAGACTGTGAGTAATTTTAATATCCACTACAGCACAAAACAACTTGCTTATTCACAGTGTGACTTGCAAAGAGGTGGGAGGAAATTCATAAAATGAAAAAACAAGCTGTGATGTTTTAACATGATACTTAATGACATAAATGTATGTGAAATCTGTTTAAATATACTTGAAATTTTCCTCACTTTAATTTTGGGTCTGTTGAACTAACAGTGTGTTTGATAGCCATAGGCTAACAGATGAGATAGCCTGCTTGAATATGTTTCAGAAAAACATCAACATACAGTTTTATATGGTTTTTGAACACCACTTTTTAAGTCTAATGCTTTTATTTTGGAGTTTAATCCCACTGCCCAATTCTCAAATACTTTAGGACCAGCTTTGAAATCATAATGATGATCAAGAATCTGGCTTTTATTTCTTCACCATCCCACTCTTTCTTTCACCCCTACAGGGTGACTCGTCTGAAGCTTTTAGCAACAATGAACTGTTCAGAAAAGATTTTATTTAGATAACGAAGTGTTACCCACAGTGAATACTGTAATGTAATATTCCTGTAGTGGCGTAGGAGCAACATTTCTCATTTTATCCCTTTTGCTGTCCTACAGACCTCATTAGTCATTGGTGTTACTTTGTTCAGCAGGGACAGGGAATATGGACCTCATAGTATTATTATGGTAAAAATAAGGCCTCAGTACCTTAACTTTCAAAGCAAGGAAAGCTGTATTTATGTTTTGCTACAGAGTTCATGTTGCTGTATAGATCACAGCTCAGGAGCTGCCTGAAAGAATATTACATTATCAATTATCTCATGTATCAGCAGGAGACATTTTCAGCGGTTCACACAGAGAAGTGTGAAAAATGCAAATCGGATCCAGGTCCACTGAGCATCCAGACCTTGAAAGAGTGGGTTTTTTAGTTGCTTTGTTTTTCTGGTTTTGGGTTATTCGGTACTCGCCGATACGCTAACCTGGAACAGTTGTCTACCAAATGCCCTTATTTTATGGCTACTGCATTTGTTTGTGCGAAATGTTGACAGAACAGTTAAAGACGACATGCATTGTTGCAGAGCTGTTTCAAACATCAGTTACAGTGAGTTTTATTATTATCGTATCTCAATTTTCCTTGTGCATCTTCTTCAAGAAAAACAGTAACTTCAATTAGCAGTTTTAGAGCAAGTTCCTTCCACAAATAAATCTGCATCGCTCTAACAGAGGACGAGCTTGCTCCAATTTCCATCAGCTCCGGGTCTAGTTTACAGTGTTTTGTTTTCTTATTCGTGAGTGTGAATATTGTTTAACAGAGTGTCTGTGCTGTGAAGAGCTGTGGTAGCTGCTGATGTAAGTGAAGCTGACGAGCTGTGAACCTCTGACAGGAGGGAGCCACGGCCACCATTGGGGTTGGTGATACACTCAGAGCACAAGCCCTCAAGCTTATTTCCCTTTTTGGTTTTTTTGTTGGTTTTCATTTGGTGTTTAGCACAGCTACAATGCACTTTGTGCTTTAGGATCTGGTTACACTTGAATACAAATATTGGTCCTACAGAGAGATGGTGAGAAGAATGAACTATTAATTTTAAAAATGTAGCTAGAGATGTAAGCTGTGTCTGGATGTGTACATGACACAGAATTACTTCATTATGTTCATGCTTTGATAAGAACTAAAAAAAGTCCAGCTGAACTCAAGAGAATTTCTACTCTGCTACTAACAGCATGAGGGGACAAAAAGAGAATACAATCATGTCACACATTTTTATCCGTTACTGAACGTATGTTTTACCCTTTTGTTATAACTTAACAAAAAGCTAAAGCAGGTACAAGAATTCTGAGATCTGTTTCTCATTAAACCTGGTCTTGAACTCAGTGGTCTGAGCGTAGGTGTAGCGCTGCCGGTCAGCAGCCACACGTTCAAGGGCTGAGGCAGCTCAGTTTCATGCAGTTGGTGGTACAGGTCATTCTTAGGGGAATCTTGTCCTGCCAGAAGGCTGAACCGTGAGTCGCGCTGTTAACCTCAGCAAGAGGTCATTAAAAGACATTTGTCATTACAAGATGTTTGTCATTACAAGATGTTTGTCATTGAAGAAAAATGCAACCGAGCCCCTTTATCAGTGTAAACTATCCAGAAAAGAACAGGTGTCGCTATGTTAGTTGGGCATCACTAGCAACACGCTTCTCACTTGTCAGGAATAAAGTGTAAAAACACTTTTTCAAAGTGAGGTAAAGTCAAACAATTTTTTGGACTCCTAAGAGCTATCAAGGGAAGCATGTTCTAACTCTGGAACAGTCAGAACAGGTGTGAGATGGTGCCTTTTGTTTCACACTTGATGAACCACTATGAAGAACGTGACTGTTGTAAACGGGCTTAGAAAAATGGGGAGCATACACAAGGCTTGAAAAATCATGACTGGTGCAGTCTTAGTTTGCAAGTAGAATCTCAGGGCAGAGACATAGGCTCTCTCACTCACCATTTCATTCAGTGGTGTTAACAATCTGAATTTAACTGCCTCGAGGCTCAGTGAGCAGTGTCCCCCACCGAGCACTGCGGGACTGCCCTTGGAGAAGCCGACATCTCGGCTGCTGCTGCTGAAGGAAGGAGAGGTTCTGTGGCAGTGGCACAGACCTCAGGTCCTCCTGCGGAAGCCAGCGGCAGCAAGCTTGGCTTTCCGTGACTTGGAGAAGAGAAAGAAGCGGGGCCATCTCTGGCAGTTGCTACCTCTGTCACCGCCTGCTTCGCCAATACCTCGGGCCAAACTTGCTGGAGGCTTGGACGCTCAGAAGAGTCTTCCTCGCTCAGCCAGGGAACGGCTGGGGAGTGCTCTTGGGAGCTCCAGGCAGCGTGTTTAGATGTTTTCTAATGCAGGAAGAGACCGTAGCAGAGTATAAAGAGACCGTAGCAGAGTATAACGTCAGTTATATCCCCTTGTCAATAAACGAGCTCCTCTGTGGTACATTCCTTACTCAAAACACCTGCCGGGCAATACAGAGCAAAGAGTGTGGCGAGTGTGAGCGTGGAGAAAATAAAAAGAACAGACTGGATGCAAGAACAAACAGAAAAAGTGAAAACACTGACAAGCAGATGTCTGCCCTGGGTCTCATTCACTGGGGCAGTTTATTTTAGTGCTTTGTTTGATAAAGAAAATGTCAAGAGAATTGCAGGGTTCAATGACGGGGCTTCTCAGGATTAAATGTATGTCAATAAAGCCAATAACCAAACGGTTATTTAACTACAAGGAGCAGGTGTGACAAAACCTTTCCTGTTTATTTGTATCACTACAGCATTATTAAAGGTCGGTGTCACTAGTACCAGTCCTTATTTCCAATGGTGTCTAAGCAGTGATTCTGGGCTGAACTCTCCTGGGATAATACTCAAAGGCAGATGTCTGTGATGTTTGTGGGTAAGGCTTTCAACTTGTGGCAGTATAAGACAGGCACTGAAATTAACCTCCAGGTGTAAGGGTTAAAGTACCAGTCCTATCTTTGTACTTTAAGGGGAAAAGAGAGCAAGTGAGTTTTTTCAGGCTACTGTAGCTTCATTAATGCCAAAGGTCTGGGTTCAACAGAATTTAGATCTACTGGGGTTCCTGGCCTGTCAGCAAAAGCGGTGTTAGTTTCAGGTACTCACAGACAGATGGGACTTCAAAATAATATACTTACTAGTAAGTCCTAGTCTTCTGAATTCAGTGATTTAGGAATGTAAAACCTATTGACTTCATCATCAGAACTGCCTTGATATTCACTGACCTTCATTGAGGCTCCTATGCTTCATGGCAGTTTTGAAAAGTCTCTCTTTGAGTGTTGCTATTTAGTTTGATGCATCAAAATGTGTTCTGCGTTCATAACTTAATGGCTTCCATTTAGCAAATGTCAAATCTTGGCTGCTATTAGTCCAAAAGACAGTGTGCTCTCTTGTGACATGAGCCACCTACGACCACTAATGAGTGAGGAACACAGCCTGCATTAGGAATCCCCTACCTGTTGGTATTTTCTTCAGACAAATATCGTTCCCACAAAGGACTAAAGTCAGGTATAAAAATACGCTCTGTAGACACTTAACTTTGCTAAAATTTCCTTTTGTAAGTAATAGATCCCTTTAATGTCTTCTGCAAATCATGCTGAATAGAAAAGGTGATGAATAAAAAAGGTAATTTCCTTTGCAACTACAAAAATCATTTCCCAGTGGCATTTTGCAAGCATTCATCCAACTGGGATGCTCTTTATCTTTCCTCCTTTTAAAATGTCAAGCAGATAAAAGTCTTCTAAATAGCGTTCTTTCCTATTTTGATTAATTTTGCATAGTGTTTTCCCAGAAGTATTGATACTTACATAAACCTGAGTTCCGATTCTCTTCTGACTAAGACTTCCCGAAGTCTCTGGATCTTTGCCATCTCAAGCTCTATTTCCTCAGGCATCATTGTTGTTTCAGCCATTGAAATGATGTCAAGGTGATCTGTGTGTGAAAGCAAAGAAAATGAATTAGTCAAACTGTCTTAATGGGGTTTTTTTAGAGGTGTAAATTTAATCACAGAGCTATCTAGCTATGGGGTAATTAATGCAAGTAGTAAAGAATATTCTAGCTGAATGCTACATTAACTGTTTTCTCTATTGTTTTGCTTATTAATTTCAACATAACCATTTTGACGTGAAAGAATCCCTAAGCCAAAGTGATAGATATTTTGTTAGTCAGAATCTCTCATACCTCTGAGGAATCCTGAGCCATAACTATAGCTACCGTTCCTTAACTGGTATCACTACAAACTTTCAAAGAACAGCCTCAGAGGGCTAGAAAATTCACTCAAAGCAATTACATGCAAGTCTGAAGAGTCCTGCCTTGGTGCAAGTGCAGGTGACATAAACTGATGACAGTTTCCCATCTTTAATTCTTAGAACTCTTCACGCCGTTCCATCTCAGCTTGACTAACAGCTAAAGCCCAGACCCACTAGAGAGGAGCCAAGGATGTGATTAGAAATGATGTAAGGTCTAATTCTTCAAAGGGAATTGAAATCTGTTGAGGAGACAAACAGCACTTTGTAGTAATTACTTGGCAGCTGGTAAGGCCAGGGTCCTTCTATGGTTATTTCTCTATAATTGATGTATTACCTCTTTTGATCCAGAGAGAAACTGGCCTAGGAACTGTGTACATTGAAGGTGAAGGAAGGAACTAATTTATAGAAGGTGGATTTGGGGAGGAATAACTTTGCCTCTGAAAAACCTTATTCCAAGGGTTCACCATACTTGGCCTCCATTCTGAACAAGAATTTAGAGACTAAAAAAATATAGAGTGCGTGCATGGTTTGGTACCCAAATAGAGACATATTCCTGAAAGCAGACCTGCTGCTTTGATTTTAAAAAGGAAAACTGGGAGGTCAAAATGTACTCGGCATGGTTATGCAGAAAACAGGAGACAAAAAGGCATCAGAAAAAAAGCTGTTCAATTAATTAAGAGGAGATGAATTCCGAAGTCCCTCAATGACAGACTAAGCACAAAAAGCAAGAAGAATTTCTGACAGGAACTTGAAGTAAGAATGAAAGTACAGAATCTTTATATATAAATTATATTGTTTTAAAATTAGCCTGGTAGTATTGCCTGCAAGTTTTTGGCTCCACTTCATGGTGAAGAAAGTGGGCAAATAAATATTAAAAGTCACTATTTTTTTTCAAAATAAGAGAATCTTGAGGAAAAAAGTGTGACACGTTTTGAAACAACCATTTCTCAGTAGTTGTTTTTAAAACTCAAATTGCAAAACTGGTTGTAAAATAAAGCTATGTTGTGTGTCTGAATTCACAACTGCTGCCTGTAGTAGAAGGATGTTCCTACTAGAACTCGTGTTTGTTGGGGTATCTTTAGTTGAGGTGTAGCCTACATGTCCTGGGTGTTGTTCCAGCTCTGCCACCAATGGCTCGGTTCACAGTGTAAAGCACAAGAGCCTCTGGAAATCCAAGCCACTAATACAGCTCTTGAAATAGAACCTAAAAATCGTGGCAATTCTAGATCTGTGTGAAGAAGGTTGAACACCACTGAAATTGCCTTAGGGACTGCCCCCAGCCCGACCCTTTCCCTCCCCTCACACCCTTTTCTGACTGTGTAGGAATGAGGAACCGTAGCCAAGTCTTGAACTTGGTACCAGAGTACTTAACGTGCTGTGCTGCCACTAACAGGTGGGCAGAATTATCATGTAGTGTTCATTAGATGTTTATCAGACATCGGTTAAAACAAACTAGAACAAAGATCCTGTGAGCAGAGTTTTGCCTCTTCCTGCTTTTCGGGGTTGTGGAGTTTTTTTAACGGCTTGCAGTGTAATTGCCTTTGCTGCAAATTTATTTTCCAAAACTACTAAGCAGGAGATAGGAAGATACTCTGATGCTACCATGAATTAAAGCCAATAATACTGTTAATTAGAAAGATATGCTACAAATGCATTATGCATACATACATATTTTAAAATTAGTTCTCAAGAGCTAAGAAAACAGGAAAAAAAAACCCTAATTATCTTATTACCACTCCACAACTCTAGCTCTAAATGCCCCAGTGTTACCCCTTGGATCAGATCACCTATCATACTGTGCTTCTGTAATTCAGGAGGGGAATCATGAACAAGCCTTATGCCCTGAAGTATGTGCTTAAAGCCAACACAGACTAAGTGTGATAAGCACTTGTCTAGTCTGACCTCTCCCAGAACAGTCACAGATTCTCCTTCACATCCCACTCAACGTGTGCTTGAACCAGAGAATATTTCTGAAAGCTATCCAAAATTATACAATGTTTTCAAAAGAATCAAAAATGTAAGCAAGGCGCCACAAGTTTGAAAGTGGAGGGAGATAAATATAGAAACCGTAAGATATTAGTTTGCAACTTGTCTGCAAACTTGGAGATGTAGCTAGAATAATACAGAGATATGTAAGGAGCAGTTTGGTTTATCTTCATAGCAGTACGTGTGCTGTGAACATACTGTAAGGTGATTAATTCTCATGGAGAGCTAAAACTGGAAGAAGCATTGGCAAGAGCTGGATTAAGGGAACTTTGAGAATTGAAAACAGACCAGGCACTTGAAATGGGAAGAAATTAGACGGTGAGGGTATAGAGAGCTGAGTATAGAGACACTGTGGTGCTAGAAGAGGCATGGTCTTGGCGAGGAGGAACTGAAGTCAATGAATACTTTATGCACGTACACCTGTGCGTTATTAAGGAGTGCAATCAAACCTCCAGCTATTCTAAACCTCCCTTCCTAACAGGTAAAGACCAAGTGAGCAACTTTGACAGCTGCCAATTCCTTTTATATAGGTGAGTCCATAGGTCTCATACACCCAACACCGCTGGAGTGTACCACCCGCTTTGGCCCCCTCTGAAGAGTATGCATTTGTAAGGCAGGCTTTGAGGAAAAAGGCACAATTAGAACAACACAGTTCCCAGAAATCCTGAAATAGCTGAGCACTAGCATGAGAATATTCTGGAAATACAAGCCTCTGAAGAGGCCACAGGTGAGGATTTCCACCTCACACCATCATCATGATCGTCACAAATCACCAACTTCTTTGTGTCTGAATTTCTCTTACAATGTTGTGGATAACTGTTCAGCCTACCTTGCAGCAGCTATGTTGAAAGATAATTAATAATTTTTCATGAAATGGTTTAAGCTGGAATGCAAACCACTTGGGCAAGAGTATGTTAACATTATTAAGCCTCTGAGTAAAGCTCTAGCTCTGTTCCAGTGAGGAATGACACCTTTAGTGCTTTGAGACATGATTCTGAACAGCTTCACACAGAAGTCTCTTACCTTTCCATAACAGAAAGAAGAAATGTTTCATGTTATTTAAAGCAAGAATGCATTAGTCAGCTATTTTTTAGTATATGTATCTTAATACATTATTAACCTCTGTTTCTGATAATGAGCCAAAATTCATAAAGCAAAAGCAGAGACAACACTGAGATTAGTCACAGCCAGTGACAGAATGAAACTATTTTGTCTGCTCTGCAATCTCCAGGATAATTTTCAGTGACAAAGAAACAAGTAAAATATTATTACTGTATGCACAAGAAGATATCAGCATGAAAATAATTACTATATAGAAATAAAATTACCAAGCTATTCCATATAATGAGAGGGCCTGAAGAGGTAAACCTGAAGCTATTTATGCACATTTTTGCTTCCATTTAAATGCAGGCTGGTATAGTTAAACTGGATATTAGCGTAATGATCACATTTTATCCTCAGTGTGCCAGCCAGAAATGGAACATTAGCCACCTGTGATGAAAAGCACCAAAAAAAAATAAAATGTCTATTAAGTGAGTAAGTGCAAAGAAAACTTTAAAAGAAGCCTGAAGTGATACAACAAGAAACAGGAGAATGCATTACACCTTGCGTCAATGGTTTCAAACAAATGGATAAGGAATGCTGTAAGAAAAATGTAATTATCAACAAAAATCTGCTGCTGTCACTTGATGTGAGCACATTGTTCACTGAGAAGTTCACTGTGCTCTACAATAATTAGCTGCTTTAATTCTAATTTGGGGGATTTGTTATCATCATCATTGTAAAAAAGGCATGGAGAAGGTGAGTAACACAAAGGTCCCAAACGTATGCTGTAGGAACCCAAAACTATGTCCTCGGTATCGTGGTGGCGTCCACCCAGACACTGAGCAGCGATCAGCTCTCTACGGCACGAGCACCTCAAGCAGCACGAGGCCATTTGCAGTCTGGAGGCACTAAGAGCCGGGTGAGGCGTTGCTCAGGGACACCCAGCAGGTCTGTGGCACAGCCAGCGCCGGTGTCTCCTCTGGACGTTGTTTATCCCCTTTCTTGCTTGTGAACCTGTTGCTGTTGGAAACCACCAGTCACCCAGCCTTCCAGAGTCACCTCGGTCATTTAGCAACACAACAGCTCCAGCACAGGGAAGGGTAATGGCCCAGCTGCTTTGCCACTATGTTTTCATCTTTGACAGGGATGAACTATCTTAAATGAGACTCTGCTCGTTCAACCTATGACTGCTGAGAGCTCTTTAAAGGATTGCAGTACAGATCAGCTGCACGGCTCCTCTAATGTGGATGCCACCCAGCAATGAACCTGGCTGCTCAGCCCTCTCAATTACAGTGCTTCAGCTGAAAATTATTTTAAGTCATTGTTGTCCTGAACTGGATTTAAACTTAGCAATTTGAGACCTATTTCCACTCCCTTCAATTGACCAATAAGGTAAACCCTGTTAAAATACTGTTAATGGCTAAGTTTTGTTCCAAATCTGGGGCAGCACTTTTGGGGCTTTCTAAAGAATTCAGTGAAATTCTCAAATTAATCTTTTTTCACTAATAGAGCATGGTGCAGCAAGTGCACTCTTAATGCTGTTTCAGGTATCAAAATAAAGACTTTTAAGACCACGTGATGAGCCAAAGCAGAAGTAAGCAGGATGCACAGGTTAGAGACAGATGAAGAAAGAACCAGATGGTGCAA